GGGTCACCTGACTACCGTCGGTCTTGGCTTACACCTGTCGAGGCTCGCTTCTGATTTTTAAAGCGAGCGGGAGTCTCGGCGCTTTCCGGCCTCTTTTTTATTCTTCTTTATTTCCATCTTTTCTTTTCTTGGCCTTTCCCGCTGTCCTCGCCGCTCCCACTTAGTCATCACCTTGCCCCTCACGTGACCTTTAACTGTCTTGGCAATATAAAAGACTCGCCTCCATCGCATTTTCTACTTTGAGTCGCGTATCTATTCCTGTATTTTTACTGCGACTTACCTGCAGGTGGACATTCTCGGGCGTCGACACCCTTCTCCCAAGAGAGGACGACTGTTGTGTGGGACCTCATCCCTCAATCACCTGCTTCCTGTGAACTAATTCGGTGGTGTCTGGCCGACGAAGGAATCCAATCTTAGTCTGTGATAGCACAGAGTATTTTCAGTTCATTATTGCGTTGTCGCTCCCTTAAGTTCCGGATAGCCGCTGCTACTCCCACGTCCTCTATTGATTGTTAGATCCTGTATTTTGGTCCGTGCCGGACCCGTTTGCGAAGTCACTATGGCAACTCCACCCCCCGAGGGGGCTTCAGTTCTCAAGGAGGAAAAGCCTCACACGACGCCGGTCTTGACTGATGTGTCGGTTGATTCTGCAGTCAACAGGTATGTATGTCTTGCTTCTTTATGTCTCATGGCTTCCTTTCTTCCATGTCTTGAACGCGCTTTCCTTGTTTGATGAGTCTTATATAAACATCCATGCGCTGACCATTTGCTCAGATCGCCTGACTCGCTCCCAAATGGGAAGGCAGATTTACAAGAAAAGCAGGTCAATGCTACAGTCAATGATGCTGCTGTGAGCGTCAAAGAGCTGTCTCCTGCAGTGAATGGGCACAGTGCCAGCCAGACGCCACTCCCAAATGGCGCCACAGTGAAGGACGAAGCTCTCGCATCTGACTCGTCTTCCAAATCTCCAGCAACGGGTGCTCAGCCTTCCTTGGGCGAAGTCTCGTCGGCTCAGCCCGTCTCTCGGACAACCGACGCCACCTCAGAAACACCGGCAGTTTCCGTGGATCCTGGGGTTAATAACCCCCCCACTAACTCTCCAGATTCAAAATCTGCAGAACCCTCAAACAACCTTGCTGCATCGGACGACGCGATGACAGAGAACGGCCCCGCCTTGCAAGCCGCGCCCTCGGCAGAATCAACCTCTGCTGATGTCATCATGCAAGACTCAGAACAAAACCCTCAGCAAGACGCGTCTACGACCCTCCCTCATCATCCTTCATCAACCACTAAGCCTGACTCTTCTTCTGAGACTTTGACCAGCAAGGAGGCAACTGAGTCTGTTTCACGCCCTGCTGATCAGGCCATGACGGACGCGCAACCTTCTCCAGTTAAGGTGCAGAGAGAGCGGGATGTTGATCCAGGCGAGGAGCCTGCAGCTAAGCGAACCAAAACCAACGGCGACGCGCCTGAGGCGTCCACGTTCAAAGTTCCTGATGCCCCTACGACTACAAATCCGCCGGCTGAACCCTCGGCAGAGGGTTCAAGTATTACTAAGGTGCAGCACAAGTTCCTGACGAAGTGCATCACCAGCCTGAAACGCATGCATGATGCTCGTTTCTTCAGAGAGCCCGTCGATCCTGTCAAGATGAACATCCCCACCTACCCCTCGATCATCACTCGTCCTATGGACCTCTCGACTATTGAGAAGAAGCTCAAGGGCGGTCAGTATGAAACTGTTGACGCCTTGGTCGATGACTTCAACTTGATGGTCCAGAATGCGGTGACGTTCAACGGTCCTGAACACCTCGTGAGTCAGGAGGGACTGCGGCTGAAGGCCACCTTCGAGAAGCAGATGGCGAATCTTCCGAAGCCTGATGAGGTGGAGGAGAAGAAACCAAAGAAGGGTGCGGCGGCCAAAGCCCCTGCTGCGCGCCGTGAATCACGGTCCACCGGTGGCCAGACCGCCCAGCGGCAGAACGCCACCTCGCCGCAAAGCACCACCTTCGCCCTGGGACCCGAGGGCCTGCCGCTGATTCGTCGCGACTCCACGAATGCGGACGGTCGCCCCAAGCGTTCCATTCACCCACCCAAACGCGATCTGCCATATGCTTCCAAGCCGAAGAAGAAGAAATATCAATGGGAGCTGAAGTTCTGCCAGGAGGTCCTGGATGAGCTCCATAAGCCGAAATACTACAATATCGCGGCGCCTTTCTACTATCCTGTCGACCCTGTCGCTCTGAACATCCCGACTTACCATAATATCATCAAGAAGCCTATGGACCTGTCGACTGTCCAGACCAAGCTCAAGACCGGTCAGTACGAGAATGCCAAGGAAATGGAGGTTGACATGCGTCAGATCTTCAAGAATTGCTTCAAATTCAACATCCCTGGAGACCCCACTTACATGGCTGGCAAGAAGCTTGAAGAGGTCTTTGAGGCTAAGTGGGCTCAAAAGGCTCGTTGGCTTGAGATGCATGATCCCAATGCGGGCCATCACAGTGCTTCTTCCGATGAGGAGAGCGAGGACGAGGCAGAAGACAGCGATGATGACGCCGATCAGGAGAAATTGCAAATGCTTCAGAGGCAGATCGCAGAGATGTCGAAGCAGGTCGAGGCCATCACCGCGAAAAAGAAAAAGACACCGCCCGCCTCGAAGAAATCCGGCAAATCTAAGACAGGCAAGAAGGATTCCAAGAAGGGACTGAGCAAGAAAGACAAGAAAGTCTCGAAGAGTGGGAAACCTGAAAAGCAGCATTGGGTTACGTATCAGGAGAAGCAGATCATCTCCAACGGTATCAGCAGTCTTCCAGACAAGAAAATGCAGGAGGCTCTCAAGATCATCCAGAACAACGTTCCATCTCTAAAGGTATGTTTCGTGTCTATGCTGTTTCTTCTGGCTGTTGCAGACGCTGACAGGTATTTAGGGTATCCAAGAGACCGAGATTGAGCTTGATATTGACGAGCTGCCTAACGAAGTTCTGGTGATGCTTCTGAAGTTCGTCAAGAAGAACGCCCCGCATGTTCTTGAAGAAGAAGAGCAACCAGCGCCGCCTCCTGTTCCGTCAGCAGTTTCGTCTAAGCCCAAGAAGAACAAACCCATGAGCAAGTATGAACAGGAAGCTCAGATTAACATGCTTGAGGGTAGCCTGTCACGATTCCAGGGAGCTGCAGCCCGTTCTCCAGACCCAGTGCCTTCCGTTGAGAACAATGTCGAAAGCAGTGATGACTCAGACGACGACTCGGAAGAAAGCGAAGAGGAGTAAATGCTAGCCTGTTCTTTGGCTGCGGTTTTGTCCCTTTGTTTTATTTGGCCTGCGTCTGGTTATTCCTGCGGTTACCTAGCGTTCTCGACGGCTCTTGCAAGATGCCAGCGTCCTGTTTTCGCCTTCTTGCTGAACCCATATTAATCGAAATAATTTCTTGGTGGACCCTGCTGTTCGTTGCGGGTGTTGCCATTCCTTTTTGTCTCTGGGAAGCAATGCCTGTCGACTGACAGCCAAGGATTCATTGCTTTTCCATTGTACTTGTATATATTTTTTTTCTCACCCGTCATTCTGGCTTCTCTGCCTTTGAATTTTGTCTTTTCAATGCGATGACTAGACGAGAATGATGGCTGGCTTGGATGGTTGCTTTGTGCCTGGCTCTAACGTTTCATGTCCCTATCTTACCGAGTCGCTATCTAAGCGTCAGGTCAGCGCTTCTATTTTGATCCTGAACGGTCTTCGTGGGAATTCGGCAATGATTTCTTATTCCTTTTGCCTTCTCAGCTACCCCGCTTTGTACTTGTTTGCACCTTTTTTTTTTCTTATTGTGGTCGGAAGCTGCAGATTTAAAGTCGTATGGGGGTTGACATACGAGCTGTGGCTGGGTTATGATGAAAGGGATTCAGTCTTCGGCTTATGGTATCTTTGAGGATGCAAATGCCAGAGATGGAAGCACATTGTATGATTATGAATATGAAAATGTGAAAAGGACAGTTCTCTAATGTTGAGGTCTCAGTATCTTGCCCTGTAAAATTGGACTTGTGCCTTGTCAGTAATGGTTGATAAGGTTAGTGGACAGGAGAGGTGTATGAAATTACGTAGATAGTCATACTCCGTAACTAGTAATAATGTTGCATTGATTCTATCTGCCACGTGACTAATGGACTTCGTTGTTTACGACTAACTGATAACCGCAATCTATAGTGAGATCGAGCCGCAATCACAAACAGTACCGTCAACAGCATGATACCGCCATGCGACCCGGCTGTTCTCGATAACAATCCACAATTTAAAAGACTCCATCAGCATTTGACGAATAACCTCCTAAACCCAGATGGAACGACACGGGCTGATGACAACGACCGGACGCGGAGGGCCGTTGCGGAGGTACGTCCAGCCATAGCGAGCTCTATGCCGCGCCACGACTTGTGACAACGGATCGACGCTGATTGGGATGATGTATTGCTGTTTGCAGGAACTGAGGGCTTGTCGAATACGACATGCAAAGAAGCAGATCCTGAAACGGGCGACAAGGCAAATCGCGCTGGATTCGCGAAGTAGCTTACCAGATGAAGTGAGTATACTCCGGGCCGTCTTTCCGCCACTCCTACAAGTGGCTGCGGTGAACGACTGGCGAGGAATGTGGTCATGTGGAGGAGTGAGAAAGTGATAACTTTTAGTTGGGGGTCTTCTCGCTGACCGTGACCGAAAAAGCTACGAGATACTGTTGCGATAATCTCTCTGTTCTTGGAGTCCCAAACCCCGCTCAACGAACTCGATAATGATAGCTCAGGAGACGATGGAAATCAATCTCTCCTCGATCAGGACATCAATGACTTTCGTTCCAGTATTCGTACCTTGATACCACATCTCTCAGACTTGCTCTCTTTGAATCTCGACAGCCTTCGAGCGATTGCAGATGCTGTGACGAATTCTGGTTCAGCCAGCTCGTCTTCAGATGTGCCATTTGCTAATCAATCACGGTCTCGCGCACGGGCACGAGTATCTGAACCGTCTCTCTCCTCACAGCTCTCCGACAGGCAGCGCCGACTTCGCACCCTTCAGATTTCTGAACTTCCGGCGTCACGGAGACAGATGGCGGTGACTGCAGCAGCCGTTATGGCGGCGCGTGCAGAAGTTATGGAACACATCGTTGTTCTCTTGGAACGAACGAAACATGGAGCGTTGTCTCGGGCGTCAAAGGCCCAGGCAGAGCATTTGGCAACAGTTGCAGAGGGAATGGAGGGCAAGACTAGGTATGTTCTCATTTACCCCCTTTAGTTTTGCCTTCTCGAGCTCAATGTCGGGCTTCGAGTGGACAATTGCTGGCGGAGATTCTGACATCTGCTGTCATTCAGAGTGATGAAGCTCGAGACCCTTGCAACCATATACACACCGGAGACAGTTGCAGCTCTTAATAATTACCGCGAACACCTACGGGAGACTCGACTGCGACTTGAGGAGAAACAAAAGATTGCGACTCAGGCGTTAGAAGCTTATGAAGCCGCTGATCTCGGCCAGAAGAATGGTGATGGGGCTAGTACCGACGAGGGAGCGGCCAGCCGAATGAGTAGGGGTGGTAAAGCTACATCAGGAGCTATGGTTGACATAGCACGTCGGTACGGTGCCCTGGTTAAAGAAGTCGAAACCATCAAGATGGAGATGAAGAGATTAGGGGGTTAGTGTTTTTGATACTCCACCCTGGATGGTTTTTCGTGTTTAATATTATCTCGTGTTGATACCCATATGTCTATGAATTCAGTCTTTGAATCTGGAGGATGTGGGATAGATCGTTGGATTAATATATAGGCGTCTTTAATTTCTCATGAAGTAAATGATTCTCCTCCCTTTCCTATTAGTCCTCGAGTATCGATGAAACATCGCATTAGAAATTGTATAGAGGCATGACCAAGCTTTCCCCATAGTTGGTCACGTGGCGAGACGAAGTTTCCCGCGGTGGCGATGTCGTCGGACTTGTTCAATCTCACAATCTCACCCATCCATCTTGCACAAAGTTCGTCGTGACATTCTGAAACCTGAATAATCAGCAGCAAGGATTTATTCACGTTCAACCGGCTCCAACACGCCCGTTCGCAGCCCTGTTAGTCGGAACTTTTTTCATCGATTCCGCGACCCCGCTATTAACCCCGCGCAACTTGACATTCACGAGCCGAAACCAAAAAACAGTGAGCCAAAAAAAAAAAGTTTAAGCCATGGCGGACGATAACATCTCCATTTACGACGAGATCGAGATCGAAGATATGACCTTCGATCCCAACCTCCAGATCTATCACTACCCTTGTCCGTGTGGCGATCGGTTCGAGATTGCCATCGCCGACCTCCGCGATGGCCAGGACATCGCTGTCTGTCCGAGCTGCAGTCTGATGATCCGGGTGATTTTTGACCATGTAAGATGCCATTTCTTCATTGCATATCGTTTTGTTTTCTGTGCTGACACTTCTTTGTTTTATCAGAGTGATCTTCCAAAAGACGATTCGGAGCAGCAGAAGGCGCCTTCTCAGATAGCCGTTCAGGCGTAAAGGGGAAGCCAAAACCAAACAAGTCTTGGATCGCAAAGGAGACAACTATATGCACCTCTATCTGATGAATCAATCAAGTGGGGGTGATGCGATCTCCCATAGCGTGGCACGCGAGTCTAGGAACCATGTTCCAGATTGCGAGGATCCTTCCTGTTTGGCTCGAGAATATCTCGAATGACAGAGGGATTTTTTTGATGGATAAACACTATCTGCTGGCGTCTGAAGAGCTCTCTTATCACAGACGCCCTCCACCTAGCCAACTCTTGGATTCTATTCAGAGTACGCGGACTCTCCATCCGGTCCACACCCGGGACTGAAAATTGTGCGAATCACGGCGTCTCCGTATATCGACAGTTTCAGAATGAGAATATTATTCATCTGGAAGATGGGATCTCCGCATTTTCAGTTGGCTGGTACCCTGGTTCTGGAGGGGAAGCGACACAGAATTCGATATGAGGAGGGCTTAGGAAAGAAGGATAGTTGCGTCTGCTCATAGCGCAATATACGCCACTGCGGAAATCGAAGGAAAAAAAATCGATGAAAATTTACTATCTTGAATCAAATTCACTTTATCTAATATACATAAATCTTCATAAACCCTGTATCCACGATCTCAGATATGCCAAATATATATATTTTTTCCCCTTCCGTTGTGTTATTATTTACTTCCTGGATGATCACTAGTCTTCCTTCTCAGAGTAGATATCTTTTGGGAGACTTATTGAAAGCTCCTTGTTCAGCAGGTCCGTGAGATTGGACCCGTCCCGAAGATAGATCCATTGTCCGTTCAGGGTCCCCCGAGTATCCTGCTTCTCGTGCATCTGATCGCCCTGGACGACCCAGTCGTAGCGCTTCGGCCCGGAGATGGGAGAGCTCAGCCAGATCTGCTTGTTGGGGGGCTGCTTGTTGAGGACGTAGGTGCCAACGCCTGGGGCGATGATGTTGAGGACGCCGGACTATAGGAGATACAGTTAGCGTAAGTCCTTACTCAATCGCGACCATTTTTTGACGGCAAACTGCAAAACTGGTTAGAGAACGAAGCTCTTGACGTACGCTATACTCTGCCTCAAGCTCCGAGCCTTCCTCCTCCTGCGCCCTTTCCACCTCCGCTAGCAGTACGTTCAAGTAATGTTCGGCATACTCGTGATACTGATTGTCCGTCAATGGTGTTGGCTCTACTACATGGACTGCGCCGCCTGCGACTCGGCTCGATTGAGGTTTTGGAGGAGTTGGATCGGACGGGCCGGGCGTGATGCCCTTGCGGGCTGCAGGCGTCGAATGGAAGCTCCGACGAAGCCGCCGCCCCTGCGACGAGGCAGATGAGATGGCTCGGGCCTGTTTCGACTGGAATTGGCGAGCTGCCGGTGTCGTCGAGACCGAGGCGCGGCGACAGACACGGAGGGACGGGATTGTAGAAGTGATGGCTCGTGGCGTTCGCGAAAGCATGATGAACGATATTAACGAATGTTTCTGGAAAAAGAAAATAAAATCAACGGAAGAGAGTTGAGTCTTGTTGTTAAAAGGAGGTATAAGGAATTGGCGATGCGTGGGCAGGGAGAATTGAATCTGCGCCGGCAAAGACAAAGCTGTGGAGATGATGATGCCATCATCCGGCGCGCCGCAGCTAGCTTGCTTTAATCTTGTCCGTACTCTCTACCTAGCTTCTTGTTCATAACTCGCATGAACATGGGCCCCTTTTGAAAACACAAAGATATTTTTTTATTCTTCATTCGTTATATATTGTGTTTTCTTTTTCTCGATGGTTATATTCTATCACCAGTGTCTACGGCTTTGATATTTTATCACGCTAATGACTCTTCGAAGCGCAAAATCATAGCCGAATTTCTGAATCGCGACTTGATATCGTCTTCCTATTCGTTTCTCTATTTTCAACTACACTGTACTTATTGCTCCCATGAAGTACCCCCGGTTTCGGGGGTCTGCTATCCTATTTTCAAGCTCTTTATCCATATCTTGTGCCGTCTTTCGGCTGCCATCAATCATGTCGGAACAAACACAATCTGCACATAACGCCACTAAAAAGGAGAAACGACCGCCTCTCACCCACTTTCTTTGCTTTCCGCTCGTGAATGAGACTTCTTTGCCCCAGTTGGAGGCATCCCTGGCCAAATTTCAGGCGGCAATCCCGCTGCGGCCCAAAACAGCGAATGATCATCCATTGAAGCCCCGACCACCACTCTTCCCAGATGCTGCTATTCGACCGGTCGGTACGCTGCATCTCACTCTGGGGGTGATGAGTCTGACAACACCTGAACGTCTGGAGGCAGCTGTGGAGCTGCTGCATTCATTGGATCTGGCATCCATGCTGCGAGAAGCAGAGGCGCAGGCGAGAAGACTTCCACGCAAAGGCCGTCCTCTGGTGACGCCGACGAACCCAGACGGCCCCGACTCGGAACCGCCAGCGACTTCAGAGGTGAAGGAAGAAGAAGACATTCCCCTTCTTCAACAGCCTGTGTTGGTAGCCCCCGCTGAACCAACGCCACAAAAACGGCCACTGGAGCCGCTTTCGGTCTCTCTAGAATCGCTGCATGCCCTGCCAAAGGCTAAGGCCGCGACAGTCCTATACGCCAGCCCTGTGGATGCTACTTCTCGCTTATATCCGTTCAGTGTCATGTTGCGAGACAAATTTCTCGAAGCCGGCTTTCTGGAGGGAGAATACAAAAAGTCAAAAGCTAAAAATCATGTCCGAGACGAGGTCTGTGAGACAGAAGAGGGAAATAAAGAAGGAGAAGGAGACTCAGCACTGAGATCAGAGGAAACGGCCATCCATCAGTCTCTTTTAGAGGAAGTTCCCACAGGCGTTGCCGAAGATCCACCCCCCAGCGCTGACAGAAAACGACATCGAACAAAGGTTAAAAAACCCAAGCCAAGGCCACTCTTGTTACATGCTACGGTGGTGAACACGATCTACGTACGCGGCCGGCATCGGGAGAATAACAATAACGACAATAATGATAACAACAACAACAATAAAAAGAAGCGTAAGAACGGTCCCCTGACGTTTGATGCCCGGGGTATTATCTCCCATTACAAAGACTACTATCTCGACGAAACGAGGACCCAAGCGCGGCCCTTTCCGACCGATTGGAGTGAAGAGACAGAGCAGCAAATAACCGTTCCCAGCGAAGAAGAGGAGGAAACGTCTACTACTTCCGAAGAAGAGGAAGTAGAAGGAGGAGAAGAAGAAGACGATACTCGCCGCCCCCCTCCCAAGAAACTGAAGACCGGAGGACAACAGCAGAAATATCCCTTCATCTGGGCCGAAAACCTCACTCTCGAGAAACTCTGCATCTGCGAGATGGGCGCGAGGACACCGGACGAGGACAATGCCCTTGCAGTCCGTCTCGGACAGGAATATCGCATCGTTGCGGAACGGAGCTTGTTGGATCTTGATAAGCAGGAGCAGCAACAGCAGCAACAACAGCAACAGCAACGTGATCATCATGATGTAGAGGTCGATGTAGATATACCAGGACAAGAAGAAGAACATGCTGATACCGACAGCACAGATAGTAGCGATGGTGGCGTGAGGCTCTCACAATCCCAGCTATGAATGAATGAATGAATGAATGCCAATTCAGCCCGACTAACCGGAGCCTGGGGCTTTGGATCTCTACCTATAAACATGTCACATATACCTCGGGAACCTGGATATTTAATTACATTTCTGGATTTCTTTCTTGATTAATAATAGCAGCAGTACCTTATTAATTTTCCTTATCTCACAGTAAAATTATATCGTATTATATACAATAACCCACAACTAACCAGACGCCAACCAAACGCCTTTCCCATCCATATTCCCATGCAATACACATTCATGCGCCGATATACCCACCATACATACCATGCCGAGGTATCTGATCTTCTAATTAATTATAGTCATTATCGATCGTCACCTATACACCCCATTCGTGAACTTGACAGAAACGAAACTCGAAGAAGAACGGGAAAAAAGAAAAGAAAAAGAAATTCCATGTCCCATTGCACTGGGACTTTTCGACCGTTTCTTAGAGGCGGTCCTGTTAAGAACACTACCTCACTTTACTCATGATCGTCTCCAGACCTCTCTCGACATTCAGCTCCGCGGCCTTGGCCTTGATTGAACTGATCATCGACCGGTCAAAGTCGTCTCGCGTCCGCAGAACGGCCTCTACCCATGACAAGTGGAGATCCCAGTACTCGTTCTTGAAGGCCTCGTAGACAGAAACCACGCCGGCGCCCTTCTCGGCCTCCAGCAGCCGAACGAGCCAGTCGACCAGCCGCCATTTCTGCTTGATCGTGGCCGCGAACGACTCCGGGTATTTCTGGAAGAAGTTAAACACAGTGAGGACATCGTCCTTGAATTTCTCGGTGAACGGATCCTGACGGCGGAACTTGACGCCCCGGTTGCGGACCGCAGAGAGGTACTGGATGAGTAAAACGTCTGAAAGCTCCTCCACGAGAATATCAATAAGTGATGGGTGCAGGACCGAATTGTAGTCGGACATGTAATCTTCAAACGTCGACGTCATCCGCTTGATTGCAAATTCGCCGTACCATTTCTGCGTGAAGAAGTCGGGCAGCGTGGTACGGAAGTCGACGGTGAAGATGAGGTTGACAAATTGAGACAAACAGTGCGTGCTCAGGTCGACATAGCCATCACGAAGGGCCTCCAGCTCCGGCGTTGCCCTCGAAGCCATGTACTTGGGTGTCACCAATGGCTCGAGGTCGCGCTTGAAACGCGTTAGATAGCCGATCTGGCCCGTTTCTTCGTTATCGTCGATGCAGGCAATCTGGTCATTGGCGACCGCGATCAGCCAGTCCTGCAATTGCTGCAGGCCATCCGCATTGTCAGGGCTCGCTGTCTTGTATTTGGCACACTCTTCGTCCAGCAAGGTCTGCCACGCAGTTTGCCGGCCCTTCAAGGCACGGAACATGGAGTCGATGACACCCTCAATCACATCCGCGCGTTCGGACGCAGACGCGGCTTGAATCTGCTCATGAAGCATGCGCCACATGTCTCCAAGTGTCTTGGTGCGGAAGTATCCCTCCGCATTGGTTTCCAGTGCGTCCGGCGTCCTCTCGACAAGCGCCTTCTTCTCTGTGGCAAAGATCCGCTCCATCCATTCGTCCACTGCGTTAAGTATGACATTTTGCCATTGGCGGATCAGTTCAGGCTCACGGTCATCGAGAATATTGGGGACCAGGTCCGACTGCTTCCAGCCTAACTTCGCCATTTTCTTGTAGTACTTCTCACTCCAATGAATGATGGCAAGCAGATTGTCCGACGGCAATTCTGGGTCATCAATGAGGCCGACAAGAAAGTCATGCATCATCCGGTGATAAATTTTCGTGTAAGTATTGTAAATTTTCCATTTCTTCGGCATGAGCGATTGCATGCCCTGCTGAACCGTGTAAAGATCGTTGAAAAACCATTTGAAACTCTTCTCCAGCTTGTCTGGGTCGCTCAGGAATTCTTCCTTGGTCGCATCAAATTGATTCTGCGCATAGAGCTCTATAGCTTGCAAAAACTTCTCCTTATAGCCTCTGACGGTCTTGGGTCCAATGTTCATCGACTTAAACCGACTTGCCAGATCTTCATGGTCCTTCTGCGCCTCCTGCAATGCCCGGACTGTTTCGTCGTTTTTCTCTTCTCTTGAGATGACGACTGCCAACCGTACGACCATGCTGCGGTTGTCCGACTGCACGAGCGGGATCAGGTTCATACATGCCGTGCCGAGGTGATCGTCGAACCAGTCGATAACTGAATCGAGGCCCTGAAAATAGTCCAACAGAGTCGCTTCGCTGCTGGCATCCTTAGCCTTCCGGATCTGATCCAAGGCCTCGTCACGGAAATCCCTCAAGCGGGAAATCAGCATGTGTGCACGAAGCAGGTTTGGTTGGTTTTCGAGGTCCTCGTCATCCTCTCTCAACAGACTCTCCGCCTGCGCCACATCAGCGCTAAAGCTCTCCAGTCCCTTTTTCATCATGATCACCGCCTCGAAATTCCGCTGGATCCTGGCCAGCTTATCAATCTGAGCGAAATCGTCCACATTCGTCTGTGATTCGGCACACAACTTGTCGATTGTCTGAAGTTCATCGCGTGTCTTCGAGACCTGGCGCTGACCCTCGCTAAGAATGGCGAGACTCTGTTGCACCCTCTCAAGCTGGTCTCTCAAACCCTCTCTCAGCTGCGCATCCACGGCGGCTTTCTTGCGCGTATACTCTGCTTTCAGAGCCGGGATCTTGTCCAGATCTTCCGGGTGACGCAGAAGCTCCTCGAGCCGTGGGATGGCCACTGCTTTTTCTGATCCCTCATTCTTCGCCATATTGTCGGAGCAATGGAAAGGACTAGAGATATCAGGCCCGTATGGTATCGGCGAAAGTCTGTTTCTTGCACGTAGATAGAGCGAGGAGTACTTTATGGGCTCCTTGACAGAATTGGCAACTGCAACGTCGTTGAGACCGGATAATTCAACCCCTCGCGCAGGAATGGGCGTGGCTTTCTTCGGACTGACGGACGGGACCAATGCGCTCTGCAATGGTGCAGATCGTAAGGATGGGATCGACCTAAAGGAATATAGCCTGGTTTTGATGGCGAAACCAGCCCGTGTCAGTATAGATTCTATACCCTCTCGACCGATTGAGGGAACCGGTAATTCAGATGTGCCAGTATCAACAGTCGGAGCGAGGAGCCTCTCCCGCTCAGCCGGAGTCTCGAGCCGGAACCTGTCGCTCCGCGGTTCTGGCTGCGCTGCTTTGAGGACTTCGTCGCTGTCAGGATAAAGATCTTCTCTGCCCAATCGCTCGTCCTTGTGTAGATCCGGGCAGACTTTGGACTTGCAGGGGCTAACAGGCTGGGCCTCTGCCTGGCGGATGCGATGTTCGATGGCGGCCGCTCGCTCGGCCACTTTGCCTGAGCTCCAATCGGGGCTCCATGTCCACGACGCAGACCGCCCGTGCCTCGGGGTTGCACGTGACTCACCGCCTTCTTTGAGAGGAGATCCTGCCGGTGTCATGCTTTTCCCGGCCTTTGCAGATGCCATGAATTATTCAGGGAATATTCTTCTTCACGTCAAGGAACAGCCGTATTCAAGACTGACAGCAGTCTATTTTTGACTGGGCCTTATCTAAGAGACCACTGGGACGTGGGGGAATTTTCTGTGAACACGGAGTCTGGTCAGCTCTCAAGAAACTGTTGTGAGAAAGCAAGCTGTCTTGACGCTTTGTTCACGCTGGGAGTGGAGGAGAAGAGCAGTGACACGTCAATTGGAAGGTCTAGAGGACAATCCTGGCACGCGTTTTTACAGCCCAATCACGCTGGCGGAGAACACTGCACATCTGGAGGCCTCCTGAGAAGTGTCAACACAACCCGCAACCTCGTTCTTTCGTCCCACACATTTGTCGGCATAAACATCACCTACCACATCAATAAGTCCAATTAAAGCTGCAACAATGAGCTACTTCCGGATAACCCTCGTGCGCTCGGCAATCGGGCTGCCGCGGAAGACGCACGGCGTCCTCCAAGCCCTCGGACTCAAGAAGCGCATGGCCACAGTCTTCCACCCCGTGTCGCCCGACGTGGCCGGTATGATCATGAAAGTGAAGGAGCTGGTGTCGGTACAGGAGGTTCCGCGTCCCAAGACGAAGCAGGAGGTGCACCTGGAACGGAAACCGGATCCTGGGTACTACATTGAGAAATACTCAGGGAGAGAATGGAGGGAGAAGAGGTTTTCATGAACCGGTCCTGAATATACAATGGCTATATCTTGCTATACCAGGCCATTGAGACGTGAGAGTGTTATCGAGCTCTGCACCGAAAAGTTTTCCTGCCGCATATACAACCGAATTGATCAACTGCGGACTTGACCTACAACACCCTGTCGTCAGAAAACAACGATTTTAAGCACAGCGACGCAAGACTGTTCAGTTGGCCTCTCGGAAATGCCTTTCCCTCTTTGCATACCGGGGCTTAACCAGCGTCGACGAATTTTTTATGGAGTGGACAAGTCGCATATCAATCGACCAGTCCTTGTGGGCCTTTACTGTATCATAGGAACGTGTCTTGTGTACATTAGATGGTTGGAAAGGCGTTTAACGAATGTGCTATGAATTCGGTTCATTTTCGATTTCTAATAGGAAAACCATTAATAATAAAATGTATGATGCCAGCCCTAAAACATGGCCTTACTCCTGGTGGCCTGAAACTGTCCACGCGCCGCTCACCAAACCCGCTTTGTAAACAACCTCCCGTCTTCCATCGGTGATACATCACTTGTTTGTTACAAGAGTACAACTAATGCTTCTGAGAATTGACAACAAGGACGAGTATACTCAGCGATACTGGTGTCACCGGCCTTAGACGGAAACCACCGCTGCGCTCAATGCAATACTGCCTTTCATGCTTTGTAAAGCGTGTCCAGGAAACCTTCTGCCAATCGACTGACAATACTCTTGTCAGGTAAGCTTCCGGCTATGCCGTACAATGCGGCGGTGTCGCCACGCTGTCGCAGGAATGATTTGCCTTGTGCCTGTCTCTCCTCTGCCTTTTGCAGCTCCTCCCCAACCACTTCAATCAGATCGCTAGTGAGCTTATCCACTGCAGCAGCAGTGGGTTTCGTGAATGCACAGTGAATGGCAGGAGGTGATTGGAGAGCATTTAGATGCCACCCTCGAGCCGACATCGCGTCGGCAATGTCATATGTATCAATGCCTCCGTTCTTGCTGGCAAAGGCAACCACGCTGACCATTGGATGTCCAATAACCTCAAGATTTGCTGACAGCAATGGGTCTTCACGGATTGAGGATTCGAACTTTTTGGCGGCGCCAACGATTTCATGGCAGCTGGAGATGTAGCCGGATTCTCCCACACTCATCAGACTGGCCCAGCATCCGGCAATCAAAGAGCCCGGCCGCGACCCGGCGACTGAAGGCGATGCATAGACGCCACCGGACCAATCTGGGTAGATGAAGTATTGGTAGCTTCGGTACAATCGATTGCGATACAGAAGGACGGAGTTGCCCTTTGGTGCAAAGCCATACTTGTGGGTATCTACACTGATGCTGGTCACACCCGGGAGGCGGAAGTCGAACCCTCCCTCATCTTCATACGGAGACGGATAACCCGCTTTCTTGAGGAAAGCAATGACAAAAGACCCCAGGCAGCAGTCGACGTGAAGGGGAATCTTGTAAGTGACTGCCAGCCGGGACAGAGCCGGGATATCATCAACGATACCATGCGGAAAGTTGGGTGCGGAACCGACCAACAAGACAGTATTTCGATTAATCAGACGACGAACGGAGGGAATATGAACCTTGTATTCTGGTGCCGGGCATGGCACACGATGAAGCTTGATACCAAAGTACTGGGAAGCTTTATAGAAAGCAGCATGCGCGGTATCAGGAATGATCCTGCGGGCATCAGTATACGTTATAGGAAAAGGATAGAGACACGGGGCTTACATTTCTGGCTCCGTTACACCGCGCTCAGCGTAAGCCTTCTGGCGCGCTGCGAAACAGGCCATAATGATTGATTCCGTACCACCACTCGTGGTCACCCCAGCCCCATCCGGGGGACCATTGAACAACGCGAGGACCTGGACGAAGTAAGTATCAATTGCTACCCTCTTTCGGAGGCTTGACGAACCATAGCAACGATTTCAGCCTCCATCTTTCGCACGCCAGGGAAGACATCCGGATGGATGGGATTAGCAACGCCGAATTTTCCAAAGGCCTCCGTCTGTATCTTTAGCAGGTCCTCGCCTCCGTGGTATACAGCACCGCTGACACGTCCATCTTCCCACCTCGTGTGTTCCATACTAGCCAGCTTGTCGAGCTCGGTGCGAATCTGTTCTGGCGTCCATCCTTCCTTTGGAAGAGTCAAATACTTGGTAACCTCAGGACCCTTCGGAACGAGCTTGTCTTCGAGTTTGCTGAGAGCCGTCACGACTTGCTTGTCTACCTGGCTGCGGACAACAGGAGCGCGCAGGACCATCGAGAACAACCAGAGGCGGATGGCAGCGTAGATGTTACGAATGCTGCCAATGATGCCGTAGCCGCGCAACGAGTAGAAGGTCTTACGTGAACATCGCAGGATGAAGAGGAGGAATACGATGTTTCGAACCCTGTTAATTGCAAATAGATCAAGAAATTAGCCTTGCAATCATCGCAGTTACGTTATCACAAAGAGCGCTATCCAGATGAAGATTTCTGCTTAACAGCTGACTTACAAGTCCAGGTTCAGTGCATTCGGCAGATTCTTGCTGGAGCCTCCCAATTTGTTCTGCCAAGATGCAGGCACAACAGAGGACGCCATTGGTGACAAAGGATATAAGAACTAGAAATGAGGTTACGCGAAGAGAAACATCTCTGAGCGGTTCAGAACGGCAGCAGGCCAGCGTCCCAAGGAGTGACAATAGGATAACGATGTTGGATGGGGAGGTGACAGCATGTATTTAATAATAGCAGGTAAGTATTTAATTGATCGCGTCGGCGCTGTCGGGAGGCAGTCGTAACCGTGGATGGAGCCTCGGCTATGATTTGCTGGTTGGCGTTGCGAGGTGTTGCGAGTGGCGGCATCCGCAATAGGCAAGTACTACCTACCCCCGATAATGACATAATAGTCCGGATTACTATTGTTATCATTGTGGCATGTGACAGACGTAAGAAATTATGGCTCTCCTTTATCCAAGCCGTTCGACATAACCTTCTTAATGCAAATTGACACGATATAACTTGTTTAAATCGGGTTAAGGTCGATGAGATTGACTTCTTATATGATCACTTTTGCCAATGTAGGTCTCATGTATGTACAGACACGCCAAGCAGCGAGAGACCATTCTCTCTAAACACCAAGTCTCTTTTTTTGACAATAATAAAAAGAGAAAACAAAACGAGCAGCTTTTTTTTCAACCCATAATGAAATAACAACAACCAGATTTCGCCAATAACATGAACGCACATGAAAAAGATGGATCCTCATCTAAAAGCATCAATGGCAAATGGTGACGAGAGCATGTCACATTTTTTTTCCCTCTTATGTTTCCCCTTTGCTTTCAAGACACTATGCAGTGATACTCGCATCAACCACTTAGGCCTCTTGAGCCAGCTCCTTTTCCTTCGCTTCGAACTGAGCCTTCTCCTCTTCAGTCAGGTCGAGCAGAGGCTTGTTCTGGCCAAGCTTCAGGTTGTTGTGGTAGGCGCGAATGATACTGTCAGCATCATCAACAGCGATTGGTCGAATGTCCGCAAGAGCCTTGATCTTAGCGGTACACTCCTTGTATTGCTCATCAGTCATCTCAATATTGAGCTGCTGAGCACGCGACTTAATCGCGTTCCAACCGGTCAGCCGAGAAGCGAAGTGGACATAACGGGTCATGCCGAAATCGGCCGGGTTGATGATTTCGTACGTGCTTGGGTTGTTGAGGATGGCCTTGGCGTGGATACCGGCCTTGTGGGTAAAAGCACAGAACCCAGTGATGTAGTTGTTGAAAGGAATGTTGACCTGAACGGCCTCTGCCACAAGGTCCTCAATCTCCTTGAGCTTGTGGAGCTTGTACTTGTTCTTGACATAATCGGGGGCGACCACCATCATACGAGCCATCAGACCACCAAGAGGGGTGATTCCATTACGCTCACCAATACCGAGAACGGAGGTATCAATGTGGGTGGCACCACCTTCCAGAGCGCAGTAAGCGTTGGCAATGGCACAGCCAGTATCGTTGTGGAAGTGACACTCAATGTCACACTTGACGACACCCCTCAGGACACGAACAAGCTCGTAAACCTGGCGGGGGGATGCGCAACCGACCGTGTCAGCAATACCAACACGGTTGACACCAACCTGGTCAACGGCAGAGTAGATAGAGAGAAGGTCCACCAGGTCAGACCGGAAGGAGTCTTCACTGGAGAATCGGACTTCAATGCCCTTGGACTTGACGAAGTTGATGACTTCGATAGCGGTGTTGGTGATATAGGTCATGTCCTTGCCGTGAGAGTGCTCACGGAGGTATGATGAAGTACCGATGACAACGTCACTTGATCCAGTCAGCGCATTTTTCCACCAAAAATAGGTGCGCCAAAAAGAACTTACACTCCATCAACACCAGTCTCCACGGCTATTCTTGCATCGTCCATGTGGCATCGGATGTGAGTCAGGATCTGTGCGTCTCGGTTAGACTGCATAACCAATGGACAGTGATATCAATTGCAGCCCACCTTAGCCTTGAGACCCAGCTTGCAGATGGCCTCGCAGTCGCGTCTCGATTGCTCAGAAGCACAAGGGCTTGTAAGTTCGATCTTTACAGCGTCAGTAAGTTATCCGACAAGGGAATTGCTATCGGAATTCCAGGTATGACTCACATAGTCAACACCAAAGTCATCCAGAGCCTTGGCAATCTCAATCTTCTTCTGAGTGTCGAAAAAGGCATTGGCGAATTGCTCACCCTCCCGCAAAGTACTCTCAATAATCTTGAATCGGGAGACGTTGCTCAGGAAGTCAGTGACACCGGCGTTGTGACCGTAAGGGTTCCGGTTTGCGGACGGGAAAGGGTTCTGGCGAGATCGGATGGCGGTGAAACCCTCCTTGGGGGGGATATCTTCGCACAATGTTAGTGAAAACAAAAGGAAATGAGAGTCTGGAGATGGAAGAGACAGAGTGGTGTACCATCTCCATTGGCATTGCCGTTGACGCCATTTGTATGCCCATTGGGCACGTTGTCTGCACCGGATGACATTGTGTAGGAGCGGGGGTTGGGAGATGAAGTCACAGGTAGATAATTTTGACGAGACTTGGAGGCCAGATTCTACTTGAAAAAAAAATAAATTTTAGACAAAGAGAGACTGACTCAAGGCAGAATTTATGAGGCAGAAGAGTGGGAAAAAAAAGGAAAGAGTCACAGGCGGGGACTCTGTAGGCGGGCGATCCAGAAATAATAATTGGAATGGATGATGACTCGACAAGACGCTTTTCTTTGCTGAAGCGGGAAACTGGGGAACTGGGAAAATTTCACAGGCCAGCGTTGGTGGGGATCCGACACCGCCGAACCTCCAATTGTCTGTGCAAAAATCGATCCCCAAAGGCACCTGTTTTCTCTACAGCCTAATTTCATCAATTGTTGATCGTGAGGAATGGCACCCATTATAGGATAGATTAGCGATCGTCTGCCACCTTTTGTGTCCGGTTCTTTCACACTCAATTGGTGTGTTGGCTGCAACTCGCAAGGGCTGGTCCTCAAGCGTGCCGGTGCAGCTACCGACATCGGCACCGCTGCCTTCGCCGCCCACAGATGAGTCAGCGACGCCCACGAGTCCAGAAGCCCGTTTTAATAAGCAGCCATCACAATCATCTTCGAGCAGTTTCGCCACGGATGAGATCAATTCAAGCTCAATTCTTACTCTGGACGTGTCCTCTCCAGTCCACGATCTCACAGAGATGTCACTGCCTCTGCATGATGTGAGATACCGCCAACAATTAATATAGCCCCTCACTCCGGAGGGCTGAAAAAACTGTCTGATTTCTCCCTCCGCACTCGGACCAATAGGGATAGTCGCACTTTAAGCTTATCAAATCAAGTCGTCCACCGGGTGTTGCTCTTTTCTGTCAATTTGAGAGAAAGTAAACTGCTTCTGATAGGCAGATAGATAATAATTCTCTCATCAATGAATGATTTGATGCTGAGTAATGGACCCGCTAGACCTCACTATGAATTATCAGACAAGCCCGCTCAACCTGTTGCAAAAGACACGCTCAATTCTCCATCTATTCCAGCGATCAATGCGGTTCATCTCAATGAACCCGCCATAAGTGTTTCAACATAAAGACAGCCATTGATGCTGAATGTTTTGATGCTCCAAACTCACTAACCGTAAGAATGATCCACCATGTCGTTTTTGTCGTTCAATCACTCCAGCTCTTAAAATTCGATACATCGTGTGTAAAAGCATGACCTCGAGTCCTCTCTATTTCGTTGCACAGCTCCGTATCAACCTTGACGACTGGCCGATGATTTGGATTGTCAGTATAGACATCCGTGTTATACACTCTGCCCCGGTTGATGCTGTCCTTGCTCCTGTAATCAAGGCGCTGGATTTTGGACTGTTGAATCCCGTATCCATTCTTCCTGGGGCCCATGACGTTTCCCAATCCAATTTGCCGGCTCTTGCGCATTCCGAAGAAAAGGCCGGCCACGACAAGGATAATGACGCTCAGGCTAATTGGTAGGCCAACAACAAGACCCAGCTTGTTGAAGGACGTTGGTGGTGGAGGCTTGTAATGCTCCACAGGCTTTGGCAGCAGTGTGATCGTTGGACCTTCTCGATAGCTCGTTCGCTGACCCGATTCCGGGTTGTTCTCGATGATGTACAAGGTCAGATTGTTGTAGAACTTGCCCTGCAGCCATTCCTTTTGCATCTTGATGGGGACGTAACCGTAGCCATTTTCCGTCCTGTCCGAAGTGTATGCTGAGTCGCCAGCTGAATTGTCGGAGTATCTTAGCTCAATTATAATGGACGAATTGATGGGATAAAAGTCAACATCCCAAGTTATGTAATAGGTCGAATCCACAGTTACGTTGGTCAAGTCTTCAGTGGAAGATAGCGCTGGGTGAACTGACATCAAACCTATCACAGAAAAGGTCAGTTGATAGGAATCGGTATACTTGACAAGGTATAGGGAAACAAAATGCAAGCCAGGCAGCGAAATGAGAATTAATCTTCTAAGATTCACCAGTCTTCCCTCTGTTGACTATCATACCTGGAGAGACTTCCGCAGCATGTCCGGTAATATTTGTCAATGGGACGGCATAGGCCACTGAGAGAACAGCCAAGAGGAGAGTATTAAGGATGAACATCCTTTGAACCTATGTGGCTGGCGGTGAATCCCTTTTCAAACAAATAGACCTCTGCAATTGAATACGTCGGGAAACCGACGCCCACAGGACATCAACAGAAACAGGAGGCTCGCTTTATTGCAATGCACAACTAATAAAGACTAAGAGACAATGTAATCGTACTTCTGCCATGTGGTGTCGCGGGCAGAAAAGGTGACGAGGTTCCAAATCCATTGTTGCTACCTACCTAAGGTACTCTGGAGATTGGACTGGAACCGTGTAGTTTCCTAATTAGGAAGACTCGATGGTGGATAGGGAAATGCGTCCTTAGGTAGTACCTACTTATTTAGACGTCTGGCTCCTGCTTCGAATTTGTGGATGTCGCAAATAAACCTCGCAGTTCGGGTAATGGTATTCACTTGTTTGGTACAGCGTTACCTGAGGTACGTCCCTTAGGTAGGTAGGTACTTTCTTCTAAATAGGAACATTGTTGTATAATTGTATAATATTGGAGGCATTACGAATACTCCATGTCCAAATAACATCGCCGTGCCGTCTAACCCAGTGGAAAATGTTTATTTTCTGTCTCTCAGAGGCAATGGATGCAGCATGCTTTTTTTTAAAAAAAAATCATTCCAGACGAGGAACGTAGAACAATACTTTCGAGTAGGTTAACTTGTCTATATTACAGGATTCTTAAAAAAAAACATTGGAAACCTCTTACATCGACTCTTGATGAAATAAATAATTGCCACTCTGCATGATGAATTTATGCGGTGTTCGGCGCGGGTCGAGCCAGCACATGCTTTGCCTTATCGCTAGACTGACATCGCCCTGCATACTTGCGGGTGCGCAGTTTCCCCGCTACCGAACGCCAACCTCCTTTTGGTGTGATCGCGTCTCCCCCCCAAGCTGCCAGCTAAACACTAATACTCCGTATTGCCTATACTGAACAACAGTCGCATGCCGTGATTGTGGCCTGGTGTTCGTTGCAACATTAATTTTCATCTGGGTCAATGCTTGTGTTTCTTTAACTACCTAATACTGTCGATACTTCTATATCATTAATTCCACCTTTTGGTCTATTGTCTTCTTGCGGCTTCTCTAGGAGCATTATTTCTGCGGATTCCCGTGTCCACTCCCCCAAATGCGTCTCTCGCCACTCCTCGCTTTACTCCCAGCCTTAGCCGCTGCTCAGAATCAGATTCCCTTTGGGGAACAGATTAAGGGTTGGCTCAACAAGGCCAAAGCTTATATACCCAGTGCAAATCCGGCTGCTCCCGTGGAGGAGGCCGCCGAGAAGGTTGTGGAAAAGACCGTCACACCGTTGAATCTGAGCAACTGGCAATCCATATTGGAGCCGTCGTCGCAGCCTCAAGACTGGCTCATTTTCATTACCGGTGGGAACAAGACCTGCTTTGGTCGCTGTGGCACAGCAGAGAAGGCCTTCAACGTATGTATGCGCGATCTGTGATGATAGTCTTCATGATATTGATCCGATTTTCTCTTTAGGAATCTGTGCTTCTCTTCGCTAAGGACCCAACTTCTCCTAATCTCGGGTATCTGAACTGTGAACAGGAACGTGTTCTCTGTTCAATCTGGGCTGCCGGGACCCCAACAATATGGCATCTGCAACTTCCCGAGGCCCAAGCTGGGGAGCCTCGTCCTGCTGCGCCTCTGCACATTGTCTACCTGAACACGACCACGGTTACTCCAGAAACTATCTACAAAATTCACTCCGAGAAGACTTATGAGAAGGATGCTCCTTACGAGGGTGCACTTCATCCACTTGATGGTTGGCTTGCGAAATACGGGTTGAATGTGCCACTGGGATATGTCATGTATGGCTTTTCACTGATTCCCAGCTGGCTTTTCATGATTGCTATCAGTTTCTTCAGCAGGACCATTATGTGAGTATCCACGTGTCGACTGATTTAATATCGTGATTGTCAGTCTGACTTGTAACTAGGGGCCGTCGACTGGCGAACCCGGGGGCGATAGCCGGCCGCCAACAACAAGCCGGTGGTAATAACTAGAGAGTCACCAGGGTCGGTTATAGTCAGAAGTTGTGTTTTTGTTTTCTTTTCGGCTCGGAAAGAACTATGGTTTATGTTGTATATAATGAGTCGTATCTATGCAAAAGGCGCTTCTTGTCGCTGGCTTGGCTAGGATAGGATGCAGGATGCCAAACGGGTCTGCTTTAGAAATGCTCTTCGACAATGCAGTTATGTCGAAACGGTTTGGGGGGTTTTATTTCGGGCAGTTGCTTACCAGAATGAATAATTATACTTAATTCTCAGGACTTTATTCCGCGATGATGTACATGTAATATGGTGGTGATTAAATAACCAACTAGCCCCATGATTGGTTCCGTAATTGCTCTTGAGCTGCGACCGATTTTGTCAGGCCCAGCCGGGCAAGCTAACTAGATCCGCAAAATCAACAAACGGCAGAACCACATTTCAATGATCATATTCTTCTACCCCGTTTCCTTTCCAAATAATAAATAATGGCGACGCCTGTGTCGCTCGACCGCGTACCACCTAGCACGGTGTCGTACGTAATCGCAACCGCGATTATTGCAGGTGTCACGGGCTTCTTCATCGGCCAAGGTGCCGCAATCGGCCTATTCTCATCTTCCGCAGCCAAAGCAAGACAGGGCAACCATCGACTAAAGAGCTCCGATGCAAAAGCGCAGTCAGCCGATGAGGACGAAGAGGACTGGGAGAGTGAGGAAGAAGACGAAGAAGATGATGCGGGAGAGCTGGCGACCTTTGAGGGGAACACGGACGAGGTGAAGCTCGTGCTCGTCGTGAGGACTGATTTAGGGATGAGCAAAGGTGATTATTGCTCCCCCTCTGTCTGTTGTCGCCGAGATGCTATTGCCGGCAGAGCAGGAGTTTTCTTTCTCGATCTGCTTGTTTTTCAATGGAGCTTGCTGACATTTCCTCTCGCAATGACCATAGGCAAAATCGCTGCGCAATGCTCCCATGCCACACTCGCCTGCTACAAATACTACATCTCCAAAGCACCCGACTCCCCGATTTTGAAACGCTGGGAGCGCGGTGGTCAGGCCAAGGTCGCACTGCAAGTCAAGACGGAGGAGGAAATGCTACTGCTACAGGCACAGGCTCTCAGCCTGGGTCTCTGTGCTCGCGTGATCCAAGATGCTGGACGGACACAGATCGCAAGTGGCAGTAGGACAGTATTAGGAATTTTGGGGCCTAAAAGTGTAGTCGACAGCGTGACAGGCCATCTGAAGCTACTATGATAATCCATGTCACGGACCATGGTTAAAATGTGATGGTTTCTACGAACTTAGATGGCTTTCGCCTGGCAGCTGATGCAATGAACTGAACCATAATTCTGAGTCATGTATAATAGAGTATCTGGAAATATTACGAATATCTGACTTTGCCGCGTAAAATTAAACCCCGAAGCCATTCGTCGAATCAAAGAGGAAATGTTGGCCAGCCATGGTTTTTCCCTAACCTCACCGGCCGACGGCCATGCGAGTCCAGAGAACTCGCAATCGGTGAAGGGACCAGGAATATGGCGCCGCCAGCAGCCAGGGATCCAACCGAGCTCACCAGCCCTCCGAGAGAAGAGAAGGAGCTCAAGGCCAGAGTGCCCCCGGAGCTGACAATCGTTCTGAGATCTGTCGACAGGAAATTGACACCATGTCCGAAGACGGGGTGGCTCCTTAGTCGTCGAACTGACCAGCAATCAACCGATCACAGTAGTGTTCCTCCGAAGAGAAAACACACTGGCCGGGATCGCTGGACACAGATCTGTGTGGTTGGTGAGGAAGAAAAAAAAAGAAGTGTCAAAGAAATTCTCTCGCGTCGTTTTAATACTGCCCGCTAGCCTTAGGAGCGGGTCACGCGGGTCGCGCTAAACCGGATACGGGTTCGGAGCGGGCAAACTCAGCGGCGACTTTGAACGCCGTCCAAGTAGACTGCGCTCAAGGGTGTCTTATCACTGCAGTACAGCCGCATCCCATAGCATCCCTTCATCCTCATTCCTTCTCCTCGAGCACAGACTGTCTGTGCCACAAACCGCGACCATGGCGGACGCGCTCTCGATCGAGCAGAACAATAAAATTCGCGCGGCTCTCGGGCTTAAACCGCTCCCCGTTCCTGGTGCCGACGCCACAACCGATTCAACGTCCAAGGAGCCTTCTTCTGGAGAAGATGAAGCCGGCAGTACGCTAGAATCTCGTCATGCCAAGGCCTCTGAAAACTGGCAAAAGTTACAAGCGGAGGCTGAGGCGAAACGAAAACGAGAGGAGAGGCATGCCGCGATCAAGAAAGCACGCGATCAAGCGCGGTTGAATGCGAAGCTGGAGGGGAAGAGTCTTGGAGAGATGGATGGCGCAGACCTCGATACGAAGTCCTGGCTGGCTCAACATAAGAAGCTGCAGAAGAAAGTCGAGAAAGAGCGTGCCCGTAAACTTGCTGAGGAGCTGGCGGAGCGAGAGCGGGAGGCCGAACACACAGCAGCGGATCTAGCGGGCGTTAAGGTTGCGCATGATCTGGGCGATTTTGAAGAAGGTAGTGAGCAGATCCTCACGCTCAAAGATACAACGGTCGATCAGAACGAAGAGGAAGGCGATGAGTTGGAGAATATTGAGCTCAGGGAAAAGGAGAAACTGAGGGAGAAGTTGGAACTGAAGAAGAAGAGGACGCCTTATGATCCCACCGAAGATGATGGCACCGGCACAATCCTGGCCCAATATGACGAGGAAATCGAGGGAAAGAAGCGAAAGCATTTTGTCCTCGACGCCCAGGGCTCGACCTCTGAAGAGCGAGAGGCTAAGCGACAGAATGTCTCTGACGTATCTACGGGCAAGAAGCAGCTTGTCAGCCTCGACATTGCGCCGGAGGCACCGGTGTCTGACTACATGGACATAAGCGAGGTTAAAATTAAGAAACCCAAGAAGAAGAAGGCCAAGTCTACGAGGCAGAAGGCGGCAGACGAGGACGATATTTTCCCGACCATTGAGTCTACAGATGCACCTAATGGAGATTCCATGGAGGTGGACGGTGGCCCATCAAACGGTGACCTACCCGCTCCACAGAAGAAAAAGAGCGAAGACACATCCTTCGTCGACGACGAAGACCTACAGGCCTCTCTTGCGATGCAGAGGCGGGCGGCTTTCAAGAAACGCAAGAAGGTCCGTCCTGAAGATATTGCTCGGCAGCTACGGGAAGAAGAGTCGCAAACACCGATGGAAGTCGAAAATGGCGAGGACGCTGAAGAAGCGCCCGGGTTAATTATCGATGAGACGTCGGAGTTTGTTTCCAATCTACAGAAGCCGACGATCCCGGAAAGGAGAGAAGAGCGACGATCTGTTCCGCCGGGCGAGGAGAGGGGTGCTAAGCAAGAGTCGCCAGACGAGGAGGCTGGTCAAGATGTCGATATGGAACGTTCAGACAACGAGGAGGAAGACGAGGAGGAATTGAGGGAGCGGATAAAGAAGGAAGAATCGGTAGAATTGCCGCAGATCAGCGGGACTGGGTTGGAAGAGGAAAAAACCATCGATCAGGGTCTCGGTTCTACTCTGGCCATGCTCAAGCAACGCGGCCTTGTCAAAGAGACCGATGCTGCGGAGAAGAACGCGCTCTACCGCGAGCGACAGCGCTTCCTTCAGGAGAAGCATCGTCTCGAGGCGGAGGCAGAGAGGCGTGCTCGACAGCAGCGTGAACGGGACCGCGCGACCGGCAAGCTCGACCGCATGTCCGCTCGGGAACGAGAGGAGTACGCACGCTGGGAGAACAAGCAGCGTGACCAGCAAGAATCGCGGCAGCTGGCAGAAATCTTCAATCGCGAGTACAAGCCTGACATACAACTCAAATACGTGGATGAGTTTGGTCGCCATATGAACCAGAAGGAGGCGTTCAAACACCTGAGTCACCAGTTCCACGGCAAGGGCAGCGGAAAGATGAAGACGGAGAAGCATCTGAAGAAGATCGAGGAAGAGAAGAAGCGCGAGGCCATGAGTGCGCTCGATAGCAGTCAGCATACTGGCATGAACAACGCGATGGGCGCTGCGGCTAAGAAGAACCGCCAGGCCGGTGTGCGTCTGGCTTGAAGGTATTCCCCTTTGGATGCTGGTATTAACAGTATCATCATTCCAGCTACATTTCTACCTGGGTATAGTTTTGTGTGTACATAATGCCTATTCATAGATAGACGAATCGTGCATGCCATCGGATTGTCTTGGACTCTTTGTTCTTCGCCGGACCGTTAATCAGCAGGCATTCGGTCCGAGGCTCCACCAGCGAAAGATTAGTGGGTTAGTTGGCACTTCGAGCTACCTTGTTTACATGGTAGGGATCGCCATCCTGCCCAGTTCCCAGAGATGATTTGATAGTGTAGGAATAAAGATAGAAGACATTTGTAAGCATAATGGAGACTATTTACAGTGCATGTATTTTGTCAGACATGGTCCAGACGTGCTGGATCATCAACTTGGACCGAGCACGATAGGGAGAGAAGGGGAGATGCTACCTAAGGTAATTAACCGAGCGATCTGGAGTAAACAACCGGAGTGTGGGGAAATTGGAGTTGGAGAAACTGAGTCAGTCACTACTGAATACTGCACATTACTGCCTTCAAGAGGCAGAAACAACCAAACAGAGTAAATTCGCAGTAGGAAAAAGAGCAATTGGATCTCTAATTAACAAGGAGCCAATGACTTAGTGACAGTAGTAAACGTGCAGAGGGAGAGAGTGCTTGTGAGTGTATGTATTCGGCCGGGTTCCAAGGGCGTGCCGGTGCGGAGAACACAACCAATGGATGCGCCATTTTCCGCTCACCGAACACGCAGCCTGTAGGACTATACCTGGTCGTACGATTCGATTCATCTCCATCTTCTCACTGCCTCTTCCTTCAATTCCATCATTGTGTTTTTTTCTGATTTCTTTGGTTTCATTGCTTACTTCTTCTGCTTGCCCTGTTTTCAACCATGCTGTCCACTCTCCGGGTTGCCAGCCGCCAGGCTGTCTCGCGTGACTCAGGGATGCGAGCCCTGATCGCAGGTGCGCGATCGGCTTCCACCTGGGCTAATGTTCCTCAGGGTCCTCCGGTGAGCTGATGCAATGAGTCGAATTTTAATATCTTATCTGGATTGAACAAAGTGGCGCTGACAGATTGTGGTTTCTGTGCTTCTAGGATGCGATTCTCGGTATCACTGAAGCCTACAAGGCCGACCCTTTCAAGGAGAAGATCAACCTCGGTGTAGGAGCTTACCGTACGAGCCTCTGATACTTTTTTTTCCCGAGTGTCCTTACTGGAAACTCAAGCTCATGCGCCTATTTCACAGGTGACGACCAGGGCAAGCCTTACGTCCTTCCTTCTGTTCGCGCTGCCGAAGAGAAAGTCGTTGCGTCGCGCCTCGACAAGGAGTACGCCGCCATCACCGGTCTTCCTTCTTTTACCAAGGCGGCTGCTGAGCTTGCCTACGGAGCCGACTCGCCCGCCATCAAGGAAGACCGCCTTGTTATCACTCAGTCCATTTCCGGCACCGGTGCCCTGAGAATAGGCGGTGCTTTCCTCGAGCGCTTCTATCCTCACGCCAAGAAGATCTATCTCCCTACCCCTAGCTGGGCCAACCACAATGCGGTCTTCAAGGACTCCGGCCTCGAAGTAGACAAGTACCGGTACTACAACAAGGACACGATTGGCCTCGACTTCGAGGGCATGATCGAGGACCTCAAGGCCGCTCCGGCGAACAGCATCATCCTGCTGCACGCTTGCGCTCACAACCCGACTGGTGTGGACCCAACCCAGGACCAATGGCGTAAGATCAGCGACGTTATCAAGGAGAAGGGCCACTTCGCCTTCTTCGATATGGCCTACCAGGGCTTTGCCAGCGGCGACGCTGACCGTGATGCGTTTGCGCCGAGATACTTCGTCAAGGAGGGCCACAACATCGCTTTGTGCCAGAGCTTTGCCAAGAACATGGTTCGTAGATTCTGCTTGCTGTGAAATTTTTCTTAAAGAAGAAGCGGTTTGCTAATGCTTGATGCAGGGCCTGTACGGTGAGCGTGTTGGTGCCTTCTCCCTCGTGACTGCCTCCCCCGAGGAGAAGAAGCGCGTCGAGTCCCAGATCAAGATTCTCATCCGCCCTCTGTACTCCAACCCTCCTGTTCACGGCGCCCGTATTGCGTCGACCATCCTGAACGACCCGGAACTGTACAAGCAGTGGCTGGGCGAGGTCAAGGGGATGGCTGACCGGATCATTGAGATGCGTGCGCTGCTGAAGAAGAATCTGGAAGAATTGGGCAGCAAGCACGACTGGTCTCACATCACCAGCCAGGTAAGACTGCCGTCGTAGTTATCATGCACAGCGCTGATCCTTGTCAGATCGGAATGTTCGCGTACACTGGCCTGAAGCCTGAGCAGATGGAGAAGCTGTCCAAGGAGGTATGTTTGACGGCGATGAATTTGTGTTTGCACATGCTAACAGCGATAGCACTCTGTCTACGCTACCAAGGACGGCCGTATCTCCGTGGCTGGCATCACCTCGAGCAACGTCAAGAGACTGGCCGAGGCCATCTACAAGGTGACTGGTTAAATCAGGATCGTAGACTTCTGGCGAGGGTGGAGGTTATGGTGCTATGAATAGGCAAGCAGAATTCTGTACTGATATTCCTGCATAGACCACAGCCTCGTAATTGTTTAACTGTACAGCAAAAATAAAACCTTTTTTTCTTTTCAACCTCAAGTATAAAACGCTATCAGCGCGTACTCCGTAGGAGCAAGAAGCAGCAGGTATACAAGCAAAGAAGGGGATGAATAGATCATCATATTGAGCCTCTCTACTCCTCCCTTCTAGGATCTGGGCTTGTACTGCAATCAGCCTACCCTACCCTAGCTAGCATAGCCTAGCTTGAATTCTTACGGATTCTTCTGAGAGTACAGTACATAATAGTCAGTTGGCCTGAAACCACTCTTCTTCTGACCACCCCTAATAATCCAACCACCATATATCATTTTTTTTCAAACTGCCACTTAATAAGAACGGCACTGCATGATTCAAACATCAAAAATAGAGAAATAGTAGGAAAATACCAGTTTCTTCTCTTCTCTTATCCTATATAGAATCATAGTTATCTCCTCTCTCTCAAAAAAAGAAAGAAAAAAAAGGAAAGAAAGAAACAGTGCAGGACTTAGTAGGGAAGGAAGGAAGAGGGGCATTCAATTCTTCAGACTGTAGAGAGAGCATTCTCTCTCTCCTGTGGGTATTATAATAATAACCAACTTCATAGATGATTCTTCATTGATATATACCACTTGCCAGTAGTTCTTTGCGTGCAGGTGGATCATAAATTTCTGTCGCTGGAAAGAAAGCATTATAATATCATCAGCTTTTTTATGGTCTTTTCTTTTCTTTTCTTTTCTTTTCTTTTCTTCTTTTTCTTTTTCTTTTTCTTTTTTTTTTCCAAAGGAAGAAAAATGATGGAAAGAGAGAGAAAGAGAAGACATACTCCCAGCGAGTCGATGGACCGGCAAAATCCTTTAATGGATCCGACTTCGAAGACGCAATATCGCCGGTGATATAAAATCGAGCGCAGTTATCTTCCTCCACACTTCCCATGGTCCAGCCATTGATCACTGGACACCCTGGGGAGCTGGAGATTCCATCAAGAATCGCGTCTAGGGAAGTCTTGAGGTACTACGGCTGAATCGAGGGGAACCACGCAGTTTGGTTTTGCTTGGATAATGGCGTTGATTGTGACATCATTTCCATCGTCGTTTTCTGATACTAGACGTGGTTGTCGTGGCCTTAGTATGTGTAGAGAAGGTTGTCGTAGATGCAGCAGCAGTGGTGATTGGAGATTTGGTGGTTGCGGTTGCAGTTGTTGTCTCCAGAGGTGAAAGATAGATAGTATAACGGAATAGATCACCTGTAGTTAACAGCATTGGCAGTGTTGTGTAGTAAGTGCCTGATGAACATGCACATGCTGGACCAGCATGATTATCAGGATCTGCATATGAGATGCAATAACTATCGAGCGTGCTTGTCACGCTGTTTGAAGATAGTATGCAGGTTAATTCGGTTGAGATTTAGATGTTAATAATACTATAGCGATATGCACATTATTTAAAGATAGCACATGGGTTGAAGTTGTTCGAATTCTGGACATTGATGTTGTAGCGATATAGAGACCTCGCTCCATTTGGAAATTTTGATCGGAACCCCTTCTCTACGAGAGACAAACCCAGCATCAGTTTGAGGGGGTATTTAACAGTGGACCAGGTAAAGCTGTCTCAGACAGATGGTTTAGCTGATCCAGATGAGCTTTATAATGTCCGAAATGAAGATGATCGAGATGGTAGACGGCGAAGAGGAACCCACCAAGAGAGAGAGGAAGAAGCTAATACAGCAGTCGCTTGAACTATATGCTGGCATATAGCCAGCAGTATATAATATATATGAGCAGCACGCATTGGAAATTGAAAGGCGACATGGCAGCCATCAACCAGAGATATTCATAGGAATGAAACATAATGGGGAGGATAGGTGAGTCCTCATCACAGAATATTTGTGGAAAGAGTGGGAATGGTTTCAGTGATTTGAAGCAAAAAAAACCCCCTGTGAACAAGCCTCTCAAATGTTGGAATTCATGGCATACCGGTCTAACTGGATCCGGTAGTCATATAAGCTGATGTGATACATCATATTGGAAGCCGATACCCCGCTTCTTACAATAAGGCTTATACGCCAGGTCGCCCACATCTGATTAGAATCAGGAATAAAGTCTTCTTCATATTATTATATTGTCTTCTATAGTGATGCTTGTAGAAGCTTCTCCCCTACATGCTTATAGCCATAACCTCAACATCAAACATGTTGAATATGTTGTCCTGGAATGAGTCTGGATTTCCACTACTATTCTTGGTATTTTGATATGGGAGCTGGATTAACCTTCTCTTTCATATTGCTCCTGTAGATCCTGTCGATCTACTTTTTGTGGATGAAAAACGGGGTAATACTACTGTGAGAGTGTACTTTGGAATACGAGTCGGTGTTTAGATCTCGAGATATGTTAAGAGGACTGGAAGCTAGCCTTATCAGGAAGTTTATAACCTCCAGATTTAGAATAGTCATTTTCCTAATTAGGCGATTACAAAGCAAAATCATACTACTCTCATACTGTTTAAGTGCCTTTAATGCGCTTGACATTCTTCTACAAGATTCATGACAACAGCAATGACGTGCTTGAGAAGGCAAAAGGTATTGGCAGAAATGATTTATGAGAATAAATTATTTTACCAGAACTTAGTTGCCCTACTCACTTATGAAAAAGGTTTTGTATGACCTATCACATCGAATCGGATGAACTGGCCAGCATACGGTGATGGACAATGATATTCAGAATCCCGCGAGAACTTACCCTATTGTTCACATCTGGAACGAGGACCGTTCGTGTTCACCTTGCAGATACATTAATTATTAGATTATCGAGAAGTAGATAGGTAGGTAGGCAGGTAAGTACGATCCAGTCCTACAGAGACATCTGTCAAATCGGCTATAATGGTTGATATTACAACTTGTCCTCTCTCTGGCATCGCTGCATTGCTACCAGAAAGATAATGACAATATTTATTGGCTGAGAGGAAGAGATTTCTTTTTAAAGATATTTTTTTTCTTAAAAATATCTCATAAACAATAATAACTATAGCCTAGATAGGAAACTACCTATCGTTTCGAAGTGGGTATGGACAGCACATCGGCTACTTGGTTGGGCAGGCTGTGGATCCAAGCGGGTATTGCATATACCTGGGACGGTAAAGGTATAATGGTATGTACTGTACAGTAACTCTTCTGTCTGTTTCTGCAATGGTTACTTTTTGTTGTCTGGAGGACAATCATATATGTCGTAAATCTGGTGAGGTGCATGAGACGAATTCTGGAATCAAACATTGATATCAAATAGCGTTTGATGAGATGAACTGTCTACACCGACTATGCTGCAGACGTACAGCCTTGTCGATAATAGTGGAGCCTGATGCCGTTCCAGGGTTGCTGTGTTGTTGATCGGGATAAAGATGGGACAGCAGGACAACACTGATCAGAGAAAGATACTTTGCCTGCATCGTAACTATCTTGAAAATGTCAATTTAAATGTCAATTTAAATCATGCTTATCCTTCATTGTCTTTTTAAGCTTGTGAGTCGGTGAAAGGAGTTATCTGATGGCTCTTACAGCAAGTGCCTGTTTAGCGCAGTCGCCGTTGTGTTTTTTTTCATCTAAATTCAACAGTTTTATAGCCAATCACAATAAATTCCTTAATAAATGCAGCGACTAACTGTAAGCGTGGGCATCAGAGATGTGCAAATCGGACGGTCCAGGCCATGCAGACTGATGTCACGGGGGCGCGCGATGATGTATTGCCGCATGGCGCACATGGCCTGCGTGTCGATTCGCTGGGCCCAGGCGTTCCCCGCCAAGCGTCAGCGAACCGTCCGCTTATTCCCCGGTGGGACGATCACCTCGAAGCACCTTCGCTTTGTGTGACCTCTGGCAGTCATTGTAGTTTAATTTCCTCGACTGTGCCAAGTCGAAGACGCATGCTAGGTTCCTGACGAATTTGCGATTTTTCTTTTCCCCTACGGTGTTCTGCTGGGTGCGGTCTGGAAGCCCATCCTCGTATAAATTATAATAGGCAGGCATCTCCACCGGCAAGTCCCAACGCTGACTTCATCGTACATCTTCCACATCAATTCCCGCAATTCGATCCGGTCGATCAGAAGCCTGCGCGATGGCACGCGATCAGGCTCCGGCTGCCACGACCGGGACTCCCGCGTCGAGGCAGACACGCTGAGTCCGCCGCGACGACTGTCGCCAGGCGTCAGGGCGCCTTAAATACTCCGGGTTCGCAGGGGAGGATGGCTTGGGCCGGAGGGTGATGGCTGCGGGCTGGCATGCAGCAGAGGCAGCGGGTGGGCCCGGCGACGTCATGGGCGAGCACAGACTGTGGTGTCCTCAGCCACGACGTCATTTGCCCCCGCCGGCGCGTGCTCATAGGCGGCTGGCGACAGTAGCGCTGTCCGGCGGTGGAGCAGTCGCTCGATAGGGCAACCGTTCTGTGTGCCCCTGCTCGTTTTGTCTAACCCGACGGTTCGTCGTCTGGAAGCCTCCCCCGTCGCCGCACAAATCGGACAGCAACCACCTCGTCGAAAAAAAAAAAGACAACCCGGCAAGTGCCACGCCAGGACGTGCAAGATACAGGTACCTACCGACCCTACAGACACCGGGCTTCAACGCAGTAGGTGTGATCGCAGTCCCCACTGGCTGGTCTACCACCTGGACGGAGTACCTCTTCGTCGAGCAGTCCGTCCAGACAGATCTGGTCGAAGACTGCTGCAGCTACATCGATCCAGAGAAAAGAGCTGCAAGCGAGTGCGCCAATGACCTAGCAATGCGGCTGCTCGTTACAGGCTCCCAGCTGTGCGATGGAGGGTTTAATCCTATGCGTTTCCATCTCGTAACCATTGTCTCATCCTGCATAGTGATGTGTATACTGCATCCGCATCAGACGAGTTCCCGAGAGATCTGTAGACGACTGGACGCGGTGATGTCCCAACAAACAATGGGGATTTCGAGCACATATAGGCATAGGGTCTGCCATTGCCCCGCGATGGCGGACCGCAAACTGTCGCGGACGGCTGCGCTGACTGGCTGCGAAAGCAGCGGACTGGACAGAGTGGTTGCAGCAGCCGCAGGAGCGATTATTCTGGCGCGATAAGCATTGGCATGGGGAGGGTGTGTGCGGCCCACCGCCAACCTTGGCCGGGCGATCAACCAGCCTTCGCTGCTTCCTCGACCCCTCCTCCCGCCTAGGGACGCTGCTACCCCACTGCCTTCTCTGCCGTCCTGCGCGGATTGGCGCCGACAGTCGAAATTCCAAAAACGCTTCCAGAGAATATCCACCTCGCTGTTGCGGGTTTCCGCTCAGCCTCAGTCTCCTTCGCTCGCTGCTGGCAATGTCGATGGACTGCTATTGTTATTGCTGTTCGATTGTCTTGGGCCCTTGACACACCCTCGACTTCAACCTCCCCACCACCTCCTACTCCCTTCTTTCCTCCTCCTTCCCCCTCCCCCGGTCAAAATTTGCGCCGACGCTTTCCTTGCTGGTCGCCGCAAGCGCGCTGAAAGGCGACCCCGTTGCCCCTCGCCCCTCGAGACCACTGTACCTCTTTCAACGACCACCTCTTCCTAGGCGTCCCGCAGGCGCTTCACTCCATCTTCTCTCGCGCGCGCCTATCCCGCTCTCTGTGTTGACAAGGTACCACGAGCGTCTCAGGTGGGAATTCTGCTGATCCTCTCCTTACCCCTCTTCCACAGCCTTTCCATTTCTGGTCCGGTGGGTTTCGCGGAGACACACGAGGGACATGCCACCTTGGATCCGGCACGGGTGTGTGGTGTTGATTCACCTTTCCAGCTCCAACGACGGACCGTTCTATCTTGGGTGCTATTGTCGTGTCATTTCTTGTCCTTTTATCTTAGCAATTTGTTTTCCGTATTTTTTATAGCACAGAATATACGAGCGTCCTACTGACTCTCGAGCACAGACAACTACAAACACAGCCAGGGTTGGAAACTAAACAAAAATATCCTGTAACATTGGGGGGAAAAAAAACAGGTGAATAGCCCATCCTTGGTTCTTGTCGTGATAGTGTGGGTGTTGTCCCTCCGTATGTCTTCGCGTCCTGAAATACAGCTTTCCCTGCCTGCACTGGAATCGGAAGCTGTGTTCCATGAACTGTGTCGCATATCGGAGGATATAGCAGAATCTACGCTGTTTGCGGCCCCAGAACAATGCACTGAGCACATGCTGACGAGCCTCCGGGCAGAACAGCCAGACGCACGTAGGGACACCTGATCGAGCTTGATAAGCATTCCCGTCCTTCCTCCCAGCGACAAGGTCACTCCTGTCAGGCCTCTCGAAGATCTACATATTGCCGCTGAACTCATCCTCCTCACCGCGGTTCTCGAGTGACTGCGAGGGCCTCTGGCACTTGCCTCAACAGTCCTCGATACTATCTGAAGATCATCACAACGATCTCAACTTTTTAGCCCACCATGGCTCCTGCACCGGCAAAGAAGACCGATGACCTCGTATGTTGGACCCTTCTCTCGTTTTTTTCTCCCTATTCGGCGTACTGATCGTGTCTCGCAGAAAAATGATGAGGACCGTCCTAATATCCTTAACCACGCCGACATCATTGACCCGGCCACGTTCGAGCAGATTTTGGAGATGGACGACGACGAAGAGAGGGAGTTCAGCAAAGGAATCGTTTACGGGTTCTTTGAGCAGGCGGAAACAACCTTTGAGAATATGAAGAAGGCCTTGTAAGTTTCCCCGCGGCATGACTAATCCCGCCCACCCCCGCCGAGTCCGGGCCAGGGCTCTCTCGAGCACGTGACAAGTCACGTGCATGACCCTTCTGAGCAGAACTGACTTCCTACCAGGTCGTCCGAAGACTTCGACGAGCTTTCGCGACTCGGCCATTTCCTCAAGGGGTCTTCTGCGACTCTTGGTTTGACCAAGGTCCGAGATGCATGTGAGAAGATCCAGCACTGCAAGGACGATCTCCCCGACACCGACGAAGCCGAACGAAAGAAGGCCGTGGAGGCCATCAAGCAGACTTTGAAAGACGTCACAGAAGACTACGACGAAGTAAGCAAGCTGCTGAAGCGATTCTATGGAGAGAAGATAGAATCATAAAAGGAAGTCGAGGCAGACTGGCTGGCGCGGTTTTCTGCCTGGGGGAGTAATACAGGTTCCTGCAAAGTCTATATATATATAGGACTCAAGTGTCTTGGGTCATGGCAGCCACATGTGATCATGCTGCTGGTGTTGCTACAGTCTTTCTCTCCGCTTTCCTCTCCTAATCGACCCCCATGAAGGAAACTGTGTCACAAACAGATCAGTTCCATGTGAATTGTTTGCATTGTTTTATGTGTGTGTGTGTGTGTGTGTGCCATCATGCCATCATTAGGGATAGATTAATCCTTCCTAAGTTTTTGAAGAACATGAACCATCTCCCCTAATGCCTTTTGCACAGCGAGTGTTTGGTTTATGAGCCGATTGATTTGATTGATATTATTTCCTTGCTTCGAAATGGTGTGGCTGTGCTGTTCATGTTCATGTTCATAGCATTACTACATCCTTGCTGTCTTCCAAGTCCTCACAGTCTTTTCATGAATGAAAAACAAAAGTGTGATATGTGTCTATGTATGTCTAGTACATACCTCTTTCTCCCACTCCCACTCCTTCTACCCCTCTCTGTCTATGAATCAACAAATACCGAGGATTGTCGTACTGGGTATTTATTCCTTTTCCTGTTTTATTTATGTCTAATCAGGCTAGTCTGACCGAGTAATTAACTAATTAATTAATTAATTAATGACTTAATGGAAAGTATTCTCCCTCTCTCAGTATCTATCTACTTATGCACTATAGGGATTATACTACTAGTACTGTTGATTGATTCTGGATCGCATCTGGCTGACAATGGTTAGAATCTGGGCTGCTGTTTCTATCTTTGTGGGAATTGAATATTTATCTACCTCAGCATTCGGTATTCTCATTCTCTTTTCTTTCGTTCGTTCAACGCGACAATTGCAATCTATTTTAATACTATATATATGACATATCTAGGTACCTAGGTAGTCATGCCACTGGTGCACTCTCTCATCAACTATGCTGTAGCATCAAATCATCAGAATTATCGAAAACATACGCTCGAAATTAACCACCCGTGTATTGTATCCTCTATCTACACAATTTCCGCAACCTGAGCCACCTCGCTCTTCCGCATGCTCGTGCTCGTCCTCGTCTTCTTCAGACTGTCAACCCAGAAACTCTTCTCACTCATCCGCGTCAGACTCCGCGCGAAGCTGAAGAAGCCCTGCCGGAGGAGCCCCAGTTCCCGAGCTGCTGCAGCAGCAGAAGAAGCGCCTTTGGTATAGTCCTCCTCCTCGTTCTCGGAGAACCAGCCCGTGCGGCGCTTGATCGCCTTCCACGCTTCGACGCCCAGGACAAAGATGATGACCGCGCCGAAGGACAGTGCCCATTCCCACGAGATCCCCCGCTGCTTGAACACGCTCGTGTTCAGCCCCGGGATATACACGCAAGGGAAGACCGACACGGCGCCGATGATGACCGCCCAGAACAGGAACTGGTTCTCCCAGATATCGCGGAAGAATGATGGCGGGAAGAATAATAATGCCCCGGAAGAACCGTCGTCCTTCGCACCGCTGCGCATCGGGTCCAGGTTGAACATGCTGTTGCGCAGATGCTTGAATTCCCACGCCGCGATCAGGATCAGCCAGGTGAGTTCTGCGAAGACGGCGGCGCGCGCGCGAAACACGACGTGACAGGCCTCGGATTCCTGACGGTTGCAGTCAATGCCCAGGTCGGGCTGGCCGGTTCCGGCGCCGTAGACGATGATCACGAAGGTGAGCAGCGTTAGGGCGCCCATCAGGACGCCGTACACGGTCATGTCGACGATGATCTGCCAGGAAAAGACGCCCTTCTTCGTGTCGTGAGGGGCGCGCCGCATCACCCCCGCCGAGGCCTTCTCACGACCCAGCCCAAAGGCCGGAAACGACGAGGTCACCATGTTGATCCACAGGATCTGCAGCGGCGAGAGCGGGAACACCGACACGCCCTGGCTGTCCTGGAACCCGAGCCCGACGATCAGGAGCACGACCTCGGCGACGTTGGACGTGAGCAGGTGGAGCACGAATTTCTGGATGTTCTCGAACATCCGCCGGCCTTCCTCGATCGCGTTGACGATGCTGGCGAAGTTGTCGTCCGTGAGCACGATGTCCGACGCCGACTTGGCCACGTCGGAGCCTCCCATCCCCATGGCTATGCCGACGTCAGCGGCCTGGAGAGATGGCGCGTCGTTGACTCCGTCGCCCGTCATGGCGCAGTAGCAGCGACGGCGATGGAGCGCGGCAATCATCCGCGTCTTGGTGTCTGGGGCGCAGCGAGCGATGACGAGCGGTAGCGTGGGCATCGCATCGATCTCCTCGTCCGTCATGCCGTCAAACTCGGCCGCCGTCTTGACCAGCGAAGCCGCTTCCTCGGCGGACAGCGATCCGGTGTCTTTGGGTATGATTCCGACTTCCTTGGCGATGGCCGTCGCAGTTGAAGGATGGTCTCCGGTCAACATGTGGACGCGAATCCCTGCGGTAGTGCATTCTGCAGCAGCTGTCAGTAAGATAATCCTCACCGAGTGAATCGATCGATCAACTTACCCCTTACGGCATCCTTCGTTTCCAGTCTGGGAGGATCGTACAGGCCCGCCAGACCAAGAAGAGTCAAATCCTTCTCAATCTCATCGCGAGGCAGCTCGTCGCCCTGCTGGTACCCTTCCGGCGCCGGCTTCTGAGCGATGGCGAGCACTCGAAGACCCTGGTCGGCGAGAAACCCCATCTGCTCGAGGACCTTGTCTTTCGTCTCCGGAGTCATCGGCTCCTGGTGCTGGCCGACGCCAACGGATGAGCAGAAGTCAACGACACGCTCGACGGCGCCTTTCGTGAAGACGACGGGCTTCTCGTCGCCCTTTTTATAGATGACGGACATGCGCTTGACGGTGCTGTCGAACGGGTATTCCGCGATTTCCTTCCAGCCCTGCTCTGCCTCCAGCGTCTTCTTGCCGTAGCCGAACCGGTGGGCGAACACCTGCAGCGCGATCTCGGTCGGGTCGCCCATTGTCTGCCAGCTTCCGGAATTGGGGTCCTGACGGACGGTCGCAAGATTGCAGAGGGCGGAGGAGAGCAGGAAAGCCTCCAGCTCGGGCACGATCTCAGGGATCGAGACACTTCCCGGTTCTGGATCCTCCTCATCATCTAGTATCTTCTCATCCTGAAGGCCGCCCTTCTGCCTTCTGTCAGCGGGAATGTCGAACTGCAGGCCTGCAGCACTCCGGGCCTGGTCCATCTCGCGTCTTTTCTTTTCCTGCTGCTCCTCCGCTTCCCTCTTCGAGGCCGGGGCATCGCTCAGCGTGATGTAGCCCCGGGTAGGGTTGGAGGCGTCGTCCGACTTGTTGACGCTGTAGATGCCAACGCCTGGGATCCAGGCCTTGCGTGTCACTATCTGGCCCTGGGTGAGAGTTCCAGTCTTGTCGGAGCAGATGTTGGTCACGCCGCCGAGGGCCTCGAGCGCAGAAAGCTGCCGGACGACGACGCGACGCTTTCGCATCTGCGTCATTCCTACGACCATGGTGATGGTCAAGACGGCAATCAGCGACTCGGGGATGATAGCAATGCCTGCAAAAATATCAGCATAAATGCAGGGTAATACTCTAGGAACGTCCTACCGGTAGAAATCGCATAGATAGCCACCTCATTAGTGACATGAAACTTGTTCACTCCAAAGACGATAATGGCCAGGAGGATGGCGAACCCAAACAGCGAATACGCCAATTTACTCAGCTTGATCTGGAGCGGCGTGCCCTCTGTGAGGCCTAGGAACTTGCCGATCCCGTCATAGATGCGCAGCGCTCCGCCCTTGACGGGCTGCAAGGCGCCGTGCTTGCGAGACATGGATCGGTTCGCCTTGCGCTGTTTGCCCTGCATGGAGAGCGCGATCTTGCCGATTTCCGTGTGCATGCCCGTGAAGACGACGATGCCCCGGCCGCGGCCCTTGGTGACGGTGGAGGAGGAGTAGACCATGTTGAGCCGGTCCCCGACGCCGGTCGAAAGCTCATTCATATCATCAGCGGTGTCGATGTGGAAGTCGACCTCCTTGGCCACGGGGATGGCCTCGCCGGTGAGGATCTTCTCGTCGCACTCGAGGTTCATGCAGTCGAACAGGCGCATATCCGCGGGGACGGTGTCGCCGGTCTTGATCTGGATGATGTCGCCGGGGACGACTTCGCCAGACGGGATGGTGTCAGTCTGCCCGTTGCGGATGACGGTCGCGGAAGGCGACGAGAGAGACCGCAAGGCGTCCATTTTCTTCTCGGCCTGGAACTCCTGGTAGAAGCCGATGAGGACATTGGCGACGATGACGGCAGTGATGACGCCGCCTTCGACGTGGTCGGAGACGCCGTACGCCAGGGCCATGGCGAGGATGAGGACCTAGCAGTGCATTAGCAATCAGGTTGACTAGAGAAAGTACATGGAGACTTGAGGGACAGCTATGCTTGCTTAACGAAACACCACAGACGGATGTCATTGAAGGCCAATATCATAGATATCAGAAGTAAATCTGCACACTCTCTGACAAGAGCAAACTACCTAGCGACGGAGTAAGAGAAAAGAAAAAAGAAACACGATCAGAATCTCAGAAACCAGCCAGCAAAAAAAAAAGAAGAGGGGAAAAACAAAAACGATAAACGACAATAATAAGTACGACTTACCAAAATCATCGCATTCGAAACCTGCTTCGCAAGAATAGAATACCACCTGACACCCCCCTCTCCATCCAGCTTATTAGGCCCAAACGCCTGCTGCAATTCCCGGACTTGGACGTCCGTCAGGCCCGTCTCGATGTTGGTCTGCAGTTTCTGGGCCGTCTCGGCGACGGACATGAGAAAGGGATGTTTTTCGTGGGTTTGAACCCGACGATGACGGGGGGAGTTCGTTGAACTAGGGGGGCCCATTGTCGTTACTTCTTTACTTCAACCCATTCAACTGTGAATCCCTGACTTCTAATGAGTTGGATGGATGGATGGATAAGGTGTTTGTTGTATTGTATGTACTATACTCGTCTCGTGTCGTGTTGTTGCCTATAAAGGAAATGTCGCATGCCCTTCATATAACAAGGCACAGTACCTGTAAAAAAGCCCGATTATAGTATAGACAAAAATAACGTCAGAAGCGGGGACGGGGGAATTTCCCACCTTTATATAAATTCCTCCATAGGTAGGCAACGACAATGACACACATCTTTAGGTACTTTCTTCCATGGTGTATTATTATTCTGTACCATGAATTGTGTTTTCTTGTTTTCCTCCGAGCCACGCACCCATCCACTGGTCACCCACCCATCCATCTCCGCGGGGCTTGGCAGCCTTGGCTTGGCTTGGCTGTGAGTGAGGAGGAGCGGGGAATATCCATCCATTCTGACGACTTCTCCCGAGATAATAACCATTCTGCAAACCCACTGGATGAGCTCTCTCTCACACTGATAGGGGTTCCAGAAAAAAAAATTCGTAGTTCGTCCCAGCTGAACTTCCATTACTGCTTACTGGTTGAGCCCCCTCCTCCTCCTCCTCCGGAGGGCTGAGATCTCGAGACTCGGAGGATTCTTGGCACTTTGCTCTTGGCGCTTGGCGGGTTCAGTTTCCCTTCTTCCCTACTTTCCGAATGCGGCGGGCGGGCGGGCCAGCCCTCCTCTATCCAATGTATATACGGAGTACGGAGTACGCCGTGTTAATGCCAAGGCATCGCTTCCATGGTCGTGGTATGCATGCATGCATGCATGCATGCAATGGAGGTACAGAATACATGTCCATGTGGCAGTTTGTGCAAGTCTGGACGCATGCGCCAGAGATTAATGATTAATTATAATTGGAATCACCTCCGCGGAGTGGACGATGGTCCGGACGGACGCCAAGATGAGTCCAGTCTACTGTCCTCGAAGGAGGAGAAGATAAGAGAGAACGAGAGAGGGCGGGAAAATTGTGTATGTACAGTACCAAACTTGGCCAAGGCCAAGCCCAGCCAAGCCAGGCAAAATCATTGAAACCATGCCCTGCCCTTCCCTGCCCTGCCCTCTGACCTCGAGTCGACGGTCGACCTCCCTTATCAGCTACGAAGAAGGTGTATGAGAACGCTCAAACTCACTCAATTCTAAGGATTCTTTATGTACGGAGAATGTTGTATCATTAATAGTAGGAACCCGACGGCCGAGATCCAAGACCCCAGACCAGGCTGTGCCATTGTTAACTAATAGTCTTGGACCCCACTGCTGATGAAGACGATGACTGGATAATCAGAATCGCGAAAGACTATACTATACATACCTAAGCTTAGTTTGGTGCATGCATGCATCGTCGTTGGCTAGATAGATATTTCTCGCGTATCGAAGCAAAGCATCCGGGTACTCTCCGTAATCGGTTATAGAGCCTGATGGTTAAGTTATATCCTGATGTACACACATATGTAGTATATAGTACACAGTAGGCGTGTTTAATGAATACATGACTAAAGGAGAGTGCTCTTGTAGGGCCAAGTCCAGTCCATTAAACCTACGATAATCAATCTGGTATCTCAGTACAGCACATACCCAATCCAGTCCGACTCCCGACTCCCAACGCCAAAAGTACATACAAGCAAGTACTTATCCGACGAATCTTCCGACGAATTCATCTCCTCCTTCCTTTACCCTTCTTCTTTTTCGAGGTATCCTCGGGAATGCTTATCGTCCCCTCCACAACGTCCTCGCCCTGACCCTTGAGCTTTTCCGACCCGCTGATGAAGAAGGTCAGGTCGCGATTCTGCTCGGTCAGGTCTTCGTTCTCTGCCTTGAGCTTCTTGACTTCCTCCGTCAAGAGCTCAACCCGCTTCAGTAGATTCTCATTCATCGCCTTCTCTTCTCGCCATTCCTTTTCCATCTTGCGCGCCATCGTCTCAAACTTTTCTGCTCGCCGCTCAGCCCGCTCCTTCTCGCGTTCCAAACTGGGAACTGTTTCCTTGGCGAGGACGTCATACTGCCGCTGCAAATCCCTCAGGCTTTGATTAGCCTTCTCCGCTGCCTCCTGCGCAGACGATGCAGCAGCACTGGCTTGCGAAGCCTTGTCCGCTGCGCGTTCCACAATCTCCTCGAAATACGCCCGCTGGCTCTCGAGCTGGCTGGTCAGGAGATGCGTGTACTCCACGCTCATGTTTTCCAACTTCTCCCGCGGGACAGCATCCGTCCAGTCGGGCGGGTCCAGGGCGGAATTGTCCGCTGCAGGAAGTTCCACAAGTTTGCCATCGGATTTGCTCTGGATGATGCGGTGAACGTAAGCATCACTCACGTAGTCCCAGACCCTTTGTGTAGCGAGGTCCATGGAGAATGCGTGGGACGTCTCCTTGAAGTGCGCGAACGCGTGCGCCCCGTCATATCGACCACAGCCGATATTACCGCATATCAGACAAATCCAGAGGTTCACCTCCGAGTGACACACGCTGCATTCGCTTGGCCCGACGTCCGTATCCATGCCCTGGCCACGTCGACCAAAATCATCCAATGTGTACCTGCACACCGGACAACCACTGCCTTTCCACTTTTGCAGACACGTGCAGTGGAAGACATGTTGACAGATAATAGTCAACAGACCCGTAGTCTCATCCATCCGCTCGAGACAAACAGGACAAGTAGGCAGCTCGATAAGGGAGGGCGTAGGCGGTGCTAGCGGCTTCGCAGAGAGGGAGGCAGACGAAATAGCTTCGGTGCCGTCTGATAAGTTCGAATTCGGGGCGACACTGATCTCGACTGATTTCACAAACACTACATGGCAAGTTTCGGGCTAGAATGAATAGCATTAGTTTTGCTGTTTGTGGTTAAAAGGCATAGAAAAATAGAAAATATCGCATACTCACCTCCATACTGTTGAAGACCTTCCCGTTCCACTCTTTCTGCCACTCTCTAGCCTTCTTCCCACTTCGGAACTTCATGAGAACCATGTATCGATTTGCCCTCGCCGTCCTGATCATCCGAAAATGGCTGACATTATCTCGCGTTTCCTCTCCGACAAAGCCCAGAAAGTCCGACGGCGAGAGGTATGATGGCACCGCCAAGATGCAGAGCGTCGTGCAATCCTCGTCCGGCAGTGAGGAGAGGTTCTCTGCTGCATTGCCATCTGAACGATGCTTCCCGCCGTCACCCAGCTGGTCTGCAGGTTTCCGAGCAGCCGAGGACCCTTTCAGATCTGGAGGATAATCATCCACCATCAGCGACGGCGTTTCCTTTGCATCTCGATACAGATGAACGATCCCCCACACGCTGTCGGAGAGCTTCTGGTCAAGCGGGATATATCTTCCCTTCGTATGGAGGCCCCCTAGGATATCTGTGCCAATGCCTGTGGTGATTGCATTGTTTCCTGCGTTCTTCTCGGCCCGCTTCGACTGCGGCGTGGTCTGCTCCGGAGCTATCATATCGATACTCTCGATGGAGATCTTATCGAATCTCGGATCCGATTCAATAGTAGAAGCAGGCGTGGTTGATTGCAAGTGGGATGTGCTCTTAGCTGTAATCGCGCTGTCGGTGGTCTGCGAAGGGCTGAACACCCCCGGAACCAGACATTGGTTCTTGTCTTCTTGAACCCCAGCTGACGTGGTCGCGATACCGCCGCTGTCAATTACCCCTAAGCTGGCAGGCGTTTTATCACCTCCTCTGCCGCGTCCACCTCGCACCGGTAATTTGGAGTGTCCGCGCTTTTGAAACGGAAGAAGAGCTTCGCAGGCGGATTCAAATGCTAACGACGTACAATGCTTCCGATCAAAGTCCGGAGATGCACGACTGAGAGAAGATCCTGAGAAAGGTAAAAGTTCAAGTGATATGTGATAGAAATAAGAGGGCATCCCGACGCATGTTCACGCCCGTAGGATCTTGCAGCGACCGGGAGAGATTCGGACTCCATCAGTATCATTCCTTTCGGCCTTTTGGTTATCGGAGCAGAAGGTGGGTCATCACGTGATGATCTGCTGGCGGGGTGGCGATGTGGCGAAACGTCGAGTCACGCTTCACGGTCTACGATGCTACGATGACTGCTACAAAAAATCTAATGATCTGCAAGGCGACTGAAGCGTATCGTTCAACCCAGAGAGGGCATTTATTTCTGTCATAAATAATAAATCCTAACTAGTCATAGGCGTAAAAACCTAGATCTTCCATAATCATCAAAAGCCATCATGTTAATCACCGAACGCCCAAGTGGCAATGCGAACCGTAGCCCATCCATAGCCCAAAACAAAGGAAAAAAGAAATCAAGGAAGGAAACACGCTTAGTTACCACCGCGCAGCCGGAGAACCAGGTGAAGAGTAGACTCCTTCTGGATGTTGTAATCCGAAAGCGTCCGCCCATCTTCGAGCTGCTTACCAGCAAAGATCAGACGTTGCTGGTCCGGGGGAATGCCTTCCTTGTCCTGAATCTTGGACTTCACGTTGTCAATCGTGTCAGAAGACTCGACTTCCAGAGTAATCGTCTTGCCAGTAAGAGTCTTCACGAAG